CTTGTTGATTCATAGTTTTATTATTCTACAATTAAATGGACGTGGTTGTAAAACCCTGGTAAAGGCTTTAAGGGCTGCAGTGGCACCAAATCATTGATGAAGCCAAAGCCTTCCACTGAGGTACTTCACAATTTCAGTTAAATTTCTCCAACATTTTTTATTGTAAATTTAATTGTCGCATACTGCCTCAAAAGATTTAAAAGTTACTTATTAAAATATGGTCGGTGGTATAATTTAAGTGCTATCAACTGAATTTTTATGCCCTCCAACTTGGTATATTAACCTTGTCATTCCGTTTGTAACATTCCTAAATATTCATCGTAGATCCCATAAAAGGACAGTTCCAGAACCTGCAAGAATCTCCTAATTTTGCAATCGAAATCGGTTTTCATAGTAAAAACTTGTACATTCTTGCAATTCTGGATTTTCGTCACAATTTTTTCACGGATTTGTCTAAAAATTGGTATATGTAGTTTGTAAAAGGTTCTAGTTTCACACGTGGAACATTGCATGCATAGGTTCACGATTTGGTATAGACCCCATATAACGGTACATTCCGATATTCGGTATTTTGATGATTTTTGCCACATTTTTTCGTAGATTTGTCTAAAAATTGGTATTTGTGGGTCATAATGTGTTTTAGCTCTGGTGGCGAACATTGTATGTATAGATCCACGTTTTGGTGTAGACCCATTTAACAATATCTCCTGATATTCGGTATTTTGATGACTTTTGACACATTGTTTCACGGATTTGTCAAAAAATTGGTATTTATTGGCCATAATTGGTATTTATAGGACTAGTGTGTATGTATAGGTCCACGTTTTGGTATAGCCCCCATATAACGGTACCTCCCGACATTTAGTATTTTCATGATTTTTGCGAATTTTTTTCACGAATTTGTCTAAAAATTGTTATTTGTGGGTCATAGTGAGTTCTAGCTCGTATGGCGAAATATTATATGTTAAGGTCCACGTTTTGGTATAACCCCCATATAACGGTACCTTCCGATATTCGGTATTTTGATAAAAATTGGTATTTGCAATTTATGATGCGTTCTAGCCCGGTGGCAGAACATTGAATATTTAGTTCCACGTTTTCCTAAAGCGCACATATAACTATACCCACCGATATTTGGTATTTTGATAATCTCACTCTGATTTACCCACTTAATTGTTTCAAATTTGGTATTTTAGAAGATTTGATTGATGACAATCCTTGAAGTATAAGATTGTCTACAGAGGTTCCCGTATAGTGGCCCCATATAACGGCCTCACTCACTTTATGTTTTTTTTTGATATATTTAACTGCATTATGCAAACGGTCTTACTGGTATATGAAGTCCGGTTTAGTTCCAATTTCACATATCCCAAAATTTAACTCATGATCTGGTGTGGTCCACTCCTTCTGGTACCACTCCACTCCTTCTGGTACCTCCCCCATAGCGATTCACACCCCAATATTTCTATCAACACAAGATCTGTTATGAACATTGTAGATGCTGACTCAATCCATTTGGTCCTCCACCATAAAGGGTCAAAATTTAGAATAATTATATTACTGATAAAATGTGAATTGAGCACCCAATTCTCTTAAATTTCACTCATCACAATATTTTTACTAAATCAAGAACAAAAATGAACATCCGATTCCTTTCAAACTCGTCACACCCCAATATTTTTATCAGTTCACTCCATCTGATAATTCCCTCAAAGGGCAAATTTTTATAATAATTATAAACATTATAACATGCAAATCAAGTCAGCAATTTTCATCAAACATCGTGTATCTAAACATTTCTGTTAACCATAGATATAATAGGTATTTCGGTCCACAGACCAATGTTGGCTTGTTTTTTTTCGGGATACCATAGTATTTTGTTGTTGCAAAATGGTCAGGCTTAATCCCATTAATGTTGTTTTTATAAAAAGAACGTTTGTTTGTTAGTACAGAACGATGGCAATGTTTACCATCTTTCTGATTGAACTGTGTGGTTAATAATTATTTCAATAGAATTGTAAATAAGTGTTCGATTTTCTTTAATATTTTTTTATCAGTATTAGAAGAAGGGGAATACTTCGGCCGAGTGTACTGCTACATCGGGCGCATTTGAAAAATTTCCACAAATTATCACATATTTGAAATACAATATGAGTAGCTCTTATACCAAACGTTCGATTTCATATTACACCTCTCAACAAAACTCAATGACAACAAATTTATGAGCTTTTTATATTTTCTAAAATTTCTAAAATTTTTAAAATCTTTAACTTATATTACACACCTCTATATTAGCTGACTTCACTAGTTTTTGCAGTTTTAAGTTAAGCACCCTACAATATCGAACACCGATGCTTATATTTACAAACGTGAGGTAAAACATGATAGAGATTATCAAAAGTTATGCCGGTTAATTTTTTTTTTGCTTGATCCTACTCTTTCAGTGAAAATTGAAAATTACCCCACCATATCTTACCCCTTCACGCCAAGAGTACATGCAAAGTTCAGCCGGAAAGATCCCAATGTGGATGCCGTGCCATTTCGCCTTTTTCTATGCTTTTTCGTACGCTTTAAGTACAAATTTCAAAACATACCGCCTAATCTAGGTTAGGAATAAGTCCCATGTAAAATATTTAAAGTCCTAGCTCTTGCCTATTTATAACAATATTGTACTATTTTTATACCCTACATCACAAGGTGGTCAGGGATTTATGCATGTCAGTCCGTCTGTCCGTCCGTCCGTCCATGTATTTTTGTGATTGAACAATATGCAGGTCGCATTTATTATACGAGTGAGATGAAATTTTCTAAAAAACATTTGTTTGGCCCAAGGACGAACCCTATTGAAATTGGAGATAATCGGTAAAAATTTTGATATAGCTCCCATATATATCTTCGTCCGAGTTGCCTTTTATTGTTCACCAAACGTGTAATATCAGCCCGAATAGTATGGAGTTTTGCACATACAACCAAATTAGGTCTGCAAATAAGTATGCCAAATTTGATCGAAAGTGGTTCAGATATAGCTATAGCTCCCATATATATATATATTTTTCATCCGATTTGTTATTTTTGTCCTCCGCAGCCGTAATATGCACTCTGTAACAACAATAATTGGGGAAATATAGCATATACAGCTCAGAAATACATTAGCTATATTTTATCGAAATCGGTTCAGATTTGGATATAACTCCCATATACAACTTCGTCCGATTTACATTTTTTTGTGCACCAAACATCTAATATTTGTCTAAATGGGATGGAATTTGGCACTTACGACCGAATTGATAATCTAGAAGCTAGTATGTCAAATTTGTTGAAGATCGGTTCAGATATAGCTATAGCTCCCATATATATTTTCCATCCGATTTGTTATATTTGTTACTCACAGCCGTAATATGCACTCCATAACAACGATATTCAGGGAAATATACCAAATACAGCTCAGAAATATCTTTGCAAAATTTTATTGAGATCGGTTCCAATTTGGATGTAGCTCCCATATATATTTTTATCCAATTTCAAATTAATTGTGCACCAAATGGGCAATACAAGTCCGAATTTAAAAGATACAAATGCTTCGGCATATTTAGTCCTTTGAACTTTAAATTATAGTTATAATCATAGCGTGTATGATTGAATTCTCCCATAAAAACTTTTGTTATGTGGAGCTCCACTAAATTAGCAAAGCGATGTAGGGTATCATAAAGTCGGCCCGCCCAACTTTAAGACTTTCTTTACTGGTTTTAACTTCAAGAACTCAAAACACTATTAAGATATGTACTTCACGACTTATCCCACTTAAGAGGGGACCTTCATGCTAAATTTATTTTAACTATTTTATACCTTTTAGTACCATTTAAAAAGGAAGTTCGGATATTTCCGCTGTGTGTCGAATCTCTTAAAAAAATATTGGTCATTAAAAATTCACATTCTAGCTTCTACGTCTTTGAAAAGTATAAATGGCCTAAAGCGACCTAAAATTTTTGGTCAGACGTGGAGTTGAGAAGGTTTCCGATGGTTTACTCAGCTTCAAAAACTGATATGACTACAAAAAAAATTATTAATAATTTTCCCGCTTACTTTCATATATATCCCCAAACATTTGCCAAGAAACAATTTTATGTCACAAAACATGTGTACGGTTCACAGATGCTGCCACGATTAGCAGATTTACAACCGGAAACCGGTTGTTTAAACGCCATAAAGGTCATTTATCATGGAAATTTTAAACCTTTGTGTAAACGACTAACCTTACACAGCCTTACCTAATTCCGCCATCCAGATGAGCTAAGCCTTTAAGGCAATAGCCAGAAATGAGGATTCTAAAAGTAAATGTAATTGTGGTGAATTGGATTATTTCCCCCCTTTTCCTCTCATCCACCTTCCGAACCCACATTTGCAACATATGCAGAGAATTACTTCTGTTGTGTTTTATTGTAAAAGCTTTTTTACATTTTCACATAGTTTAGTTAATGCTAAAGCTAATTATACTGTTAATTGGGAATGTGTGTGAGTGGGTACGTGTTATGGCACACACACACACACAGATACACATGTAACGTCATTATTAATTATGAACATCGAAAAATGACGTTGATATTGACACGGAGGCAAGGCATTCGAAAAACAGCGGCAAACCAGCAATGGGCTATGAAGCTTTTTCGTGGCATATTTCTCAAAAGCCGAACTATGACGATGACGATAAAACAACAGCATCCGACAACAATGGGAGAAAGAGAGTGGAACCTTACAAATTGTGAAAAAATCATATGTTAACCTAAAAAGAGAGAGCGAGAGAGAGGCACCAGAAATTGTAAACAATAAAAGCTTGGGCCACACGAACCCATTTTGTTGGCCTTTTAGCCAACTTAAGAGAATCCGCCAAAGAGAATCCAACACCGCTGGTACTAAAAAAGAAAGCATAAAAGCTTTCCACATAATTTAGGCTCCCCAGCATCCATACATTACAGCTTATGAGCCTCTTTGCATTTTACATTGATTTTCAGTCAGGTGGAGACAGTTGACGTGTACGGTTGTTTAACGGTTAATGAGTTTTTGTGTGTAAAAGTTTGCAAATATCCAAGAAAAGCAAAAAAAAAAAAAAAAAGAAAAATTACCACACACACATACAAATATATACAATTTTTTCCTACAAAATATCTGAAAGAAAAAATGATTGAAAAAATGTAAATTTTAAAAGAAGAATTATTAAAAAAAAATCTGAAGTGAAGTTTAAAGAAAATTTGTAGAAAATTGAAAAGAAAAATGTCAAGAATTGTAAAAAGTTAAAGAAAAATCTAAAAAAAGAAAAGTTGGCCTGTGAAAAAAAAAAAAACGGTTAAGAAAAACCCAAAGTTGAAAAAGAAACACACACACAAGTATAGAAAAAAGCCTTTGTTAACATCTTTGCAAAGCTGCTGCTGCTACAAACACAAACACACACAAGAAAAAAAGGTATACCAAAGTTAACGAGTAATGTGAGATGCTGAAGAGGACACTGATGATGACGATGCTAGCTGGTGCTAGAGGTGATGGTGGTGGTGGTGGGAAAAACTTGTTAAGTGAGTTGTGGTGTGGTGAGGTTAAAAGTAAAATGGACCACCCCCACTTCCCAAAAAGGGCTCGAATAGAGGGATATGTTTAAAGCTTTTGCTGTGGCTTGCTTAAGTTGTCAAAGGCAGCAGGAGTATGTCACAAGTGTACACACATACATACATACATATGAATATATGTATGTGTGTTACATATATACATATGTACTCACCACACCCTGATCCTAGTTTAGCATAACAGCAAACATCATAAACGGTTATGGTTTCGTTTGACTTCCTTCAGAGAAGGAAGAGAAGTTGGGATGAGAGCAAAATCAAATATGTACGTGAGAGAGATGATGCAGATAAAAAAGGGAGTTTTAAGAGATGAAGTTTGACAACAAAAGAGTTTGGTACTAAAACATATAAACAATTCTCTTTCTCTCTCTCTCTCACTCTCCGTCACTCTGCAAGTTATGGACCCACCACTTGAGTCTCTTGTACTAATGTTGTGACGTTTTTATGTTTTGTTATATGGCTTAGCATTCTTTTGCAGAGATTTGGTTTTTTGGGCCATAAAATACTCAACAACGGATGTGTTTGCTTTATTTGTTTTTGTTGTGATACTGTGCAACTTTACAACAGCATAGAGCTGTGGTGGTATTTATTAGGCACTGTAAGCTCCAAAGGACCAGACGTTAAGATTTTTTAGTGAAAACTTAAACAAAAGAAAAAAGTTGTGCTAAAGATAAAGTGAGAAGAAATAAAAAAACCAAAGGAAAAAAATTAAAAAGTGATTGAGAATACATAAAACTAAAGTGGAAGCAAATAAACAAAACCAAATATTATTAAATGGAAAAGCCTATAAATACCCATTTTCAAACCAATGCTGTGAAGCATTTGCAAAACTATAAATAATTTGTGCTAGATTTTTTTTGTTTGTGTGTGCTCTTTTGTCTTCTCCGTGACAAATGGCCCAGTTTAGTTTTTGCCCAAGTCTAAAACTCGGCTAAAAGGCTAGAGACCCACAAAAGTGCCTGCAATTTCTTTTGTTTTTTCTTTCGCTTTTTTTTTTTTGTTTCTGTTCATAATTTTCTTCTGCAAGCATGATAAAAAAGTGAACACAACAGTAGAACATAAATAAATTTTGCTCAAAGCAAAAACAAAAAAATAAAATAAAATAAAAAGAAGAAAAAGCTTGATAATAAAAATTAATGGAAAACTAACTGAGAATCAGAAACTCGAGGAGATATATAGCGAAACCTCTTTGGAGGAGTTTATATCGATAGCCTATAGGGTGAGGAGTTAAATAATCTCGAGTTGGAATTGTAGACCCCCAGACTGACAAAATTAACATAAAATAGACTTAAACCTTATGTGGGAAGCTATCAAACCGTGTTCTTCTTTGGGTACTTGGTATACCAAAACCTATAAAACACATATTCTTCATTACGATTTTCATTCATTATTTTCATTACGATTCATTACGATGATTTTCAAAATCTTTGACTATTTGTGTGAAAGGGATCATGCGAAATTTAAAGCCGAAATCGGAAACTGATTTCATATTCTATGATACTTATTATTCAACATTTTGGCATTTATAGGTAGGTACAAGAAACACCTGAGTAGGAACAACTTTTGTATTATACCTTAATTGAAAATTTTTAACTTATGTGGAAAGATATCACAAAGTATGAATCGATGCATTCCAATTTTAACACTTATTCTAATATTGACTGCACAGTGGGCTCCCTTAGTTCATTTTGATACCTTTTTTGTACCTTACGCCACTCTGCGGTACAGGGTATTATTTGTGTAATTGTTTGTAAATAGACCCATACCCAACGAAATAGACCCATACTTCGTTTTGATGGTCTCCACAGAATCACATTCTGAGTCCTCTCATCATTTTTTCCAAACAAAATAGAGGTCGCATTTATTATCTGATTGAGATGAAACTTTCCACAAATCATTTGTTTGGTTCTAGGACGAACCCTATTGAAATTGGTAAAAATCGATCCAAATTGAGATATAGTTCCCATATATATCTTCGGTCGAACTCAATCAATATTCCTTTAAATGGGATATATTTTAGCACATACGACTTAGAAACAAGTGTGCCAAACTTGGTGGTAATCGGTTCGAGCTAAGGCTTTCATATATAAGTATGTTTCATCCGATTTTGTGTTTAGGTTCCTCACACTCGTAAGGACCATTCGATTTTGTGCAAACTTTTCAAATCGCAACATTTTTATCTGTGCTAGCTCAGGTGTGAAGTGCCTCCCCTCCCACTCCGTGCCTCCTTCATAAGGGGTCAACATTGGGAATAATTATATCTCTTATAAAATGTAAAATAAAAGTCCGATTGTTTTCAAATTTCACACATCCTAATATTTTATTACTGCAAGATCTGGCATGGAAATGGGATATGTCGGTCCACTTTTTCTGGTACTTTCCCCACGACTTTTTGAATTGCCATGAAGCTTTTAAAGCGCAAAATTAACATCCGATTATTTTTAATTGGCACATTGTATCCACACAAAACCAGGTGTGAAGATGGAATTTGTTGGAACAAATTCCCCCTCACAAAAATTTCAAAATTTTGAATAATTATATGCGAAATAAGCATCTGATACTCTTAAAGTTTCACATATCAAGTGAGGAGATGATATATAACGGCCCACTCCTTTTGGTACCACTCCCGCAAAGAGTCAAAATTTTTAATATTTATATCTCTTATAACTGGCGAAACAATATATTTTTTCAACCAGGGATATATTGTGAATATGAAATTTGTCGGCTCACACCTTATTGTATCTCCGTACAAAAGGTTAAAATTATAATCAACAATTATTCTAAAAAAATTTGTAATAGGTTCTGATTTTCTTCAAATTTTGTACATCTCAATACTTTTATCAGAATTTTATCCACTATATCTAGTAGCTCACGCATATTTTAACTCCTTAGGTATCTCCTCCACCCTACATGTACGTTTATTTGTTACATCGTCATATAGTTGGCTCGCCCGACTTTTTATATTTCTTTGCTGGTTTATTTTGCAAACATTTTGTGGAGGAAGTACTGGGAGGGGTGGACAAATATTGTCACCTTTCATATGTAACATAAGTCTTATCTAAATACGATGTGATATGTCTGCATTTAACTACATCGAATACTCCCTTTGCTCAATATAAGGTTACACTACATTTCTATCTTTTGTGGGGCAGGTACCGAAAATAGGTGACCGATATTCTCCATCTTCCAACTCGATTTAAGTTTGGTGAAAATATTACGATGTACAAATTTGGGCGAATCGTATACTCCTGTCAAGAGTTATCGTACTGGGTGGGCTCCAAATTCCATAAAATGTTTTGATTAGCCATATTTTAATAATATCCAATGATATACATTCTGTAGGCACCGAGGGTGTAAGGACCGGAGTATTTTTCAGTTTTTATACCCTCCATCATACATAGTATATTAAGTTCGTCATTCCGTTTGTAACTCATCGAAATAATAATTTTAGACCCAACAAAGTATACATATTCTTGATCTACGTAAAATTCTAAGACGATTTAGCCCTGTCCGTCGGTCTGTCCGCCTGGTGTAATCATAATTTTGATGATTTTAGCGACATTACTTACCGGAATTATTTTCAATTTTGTAATTGAAGTTCGTAATTAATACTATAGCTTATGCCAGAAAATTGTCTGTGCAGGTCCACGTTATATAACCCCCATGGTACTTCCCTATATGATGATGATTTTAGCTACATAATAAACAGATTTTTTTCATGTTCGCATTTTAATATTGTAATAGCTTATGACAAAAGTTGCGTATGCAGGTTCACGTCTTCGTATAGACCCCAATATATATACGGCTACATTCGATATTTTTAAGATTTTAACAGAATTTTTAATGGATTTTATTTTTTTTTCGAAAATTGCCAAATTTGTACCAGCTGGTGGTTCAAACTTTACATGTTTTGTTTTTAATTAAATTATTAGCATTTATGTGTACCTTTTAAATTGGAGTTATTCTAAACACTGTCTATATCAAATTTAATGTCTGTTTCTATTCCGGTTTCTTTTATGAAATAGTTTTTCTTAAAAAAAACTCTATTTTTGGGTTTTGTGTTGACATATCCAGCTTCGATTATATGGGCTCATCTAAACCTGATCAATCTCCAATACAAATTCAAAATTTGTTTTGACTCTTCTTTAAAATTGTAAGCATTGAAAAAAATATTGAAAGTGGTCACCCTATTTGGGAGAGGTAACCGAAGGGTTACACCAGAACTTGTGTTGGGGATATATTTAAAAAGTATCGAAAGCTGATTTCACATTTCATGCCTGTTATAATCATTCAAAATTTTAACCCTTTGTGGGGGAAGCACTTTTTTGAGTGGAATCCATTTTCGCACCTGGCTTAGCATTGATAAAAATTTTAGGATTTGTGATGTTTGCACAAAATTGAATAATTCTTTCTTGTTCTATAAGTTAAATTATTTTCTTTGGAAATGTTGACCTTTTGTGGGGAGTCTAACAGAGGAAGTGGGCTGATATTACCTACTCTGAGCCAGATCTAAATTTAATAATAATATTACGATGAATTAATTTTGAACCAAATCACATACTTCCTTTAAGAGTCATCGTGCGAACCAGCCGGACAGACAGAAACAGACACCGCTTGATCGACCCCCCAATGTCCTGAAACGAAATTCGTCCAAAGAGGCCTGGGATCTTAAACAGTTATTTCTATCGGGCCATATGGGTGAGTGTATAAAAAGTGAACCGGTAGTGAAGTTTAGTATCAAAATATTCCAACAGACGAACCACGTTTAAATCTAAATTGTTAATATGGGCTCGTCTTAACCTAGCTAGATTCTGTACGATCAATTTAAATTTTGTAAATTCTTGT